ATCGTTAGTAGTACTTCTGTGCACGGAACTTCCTTGGAGAGCCTTTCTACGAGAGTGCGGTAAAAGTGGGATATATTATATTTTCGGAAGTCGAGAGAAGGCACCGGTTTCTGGTTCTTAAAGGCAATTGGTACGATGAAACTCTAAGACGAACGAGGATTAAACGCCTGCCAGGATGGAATTCCCCCCCCCCCCTGAGCAGGCTCTGCGTAGCGCATTCTCCGAGGAAGGTCCCCCTTGAAAGCTCTATCAAGCTGCAACATACAGACCCGAACGCCCACCGCGCCACGAATAACGACCTGATGCTGGTAGGCTTCATTTGCGAAGTAAAATATGAAGCGAAGGGATTGATATGAAGCGGCCGCGGTGCTGCATGGATATATGAGTACATACGTGCAGCCGTATCTACCGTAGCGGTTATTGGCACGATGCCTACGGGAAACTCGTCCGAAATTGCTTTTGAGTCATGAAGAACAAAGGCTTTTCTTCGCAGGTTTCCGACCTTCACGTTTCACTTTGTTGTTTTTTTCGCCATTTTCCACAATATAGCACCCTGATAGCATTCAAGACCGACTACCAAATTGTCGTATGCCTTTGAATATTGTGTTCAATATATTGCAGGTCGATAGTGCAGGTCGTGAAACGGCTATGCATGAATGCAAATGCAGTCGTGGCTATACTGGACCGCAATGTACAACTCAGGTAGGTTTTCGAAGGTTTCTGCCTAGAAAGGAAGTTCTGTTCTCAGTAAAAAGTGGAGCGTGGGCAAGCTATAACGAGTGTTGTCATTGTGGCGGGTTTTTTTGCTAGAGAACGTTGTGCAGGCAGGGTAAACCCCAGTCCGAAGCGTAACGTAACCTGGGTGCGCATCGACCGAAAGTTCCCTTTTTAGGCGTGGATTACTGAAAAATTTTTAGCGGTGTAAAATGCACAGGAGCAAAGCTGCGGGCGTGCTCCCTCTACTAGGTATTATGCCCATAAGGGCTCTTGTTGCCAGTTTCAAGGTACGCTTGATATCCCAAAGATGTGGAATCCGTGGTTGCGTACTTCACAGTGGCGGCACTGTTCTTGTGAAGGAATGTCTCGAAACAGTTGCAACGATGATATCCTGTCCATAGAATCGGCAACACTTCTTATCAATGGAAAAGTCGCCGACAACCGCATGTTGTACCATGTCAAGTAATTTATGCAACCACGACTACTCAGCGCTGGGGTGTGCAGTGTAATATGGGTGCGCTCTCTCTCTTGGCGCCTTTTGGTCTTTTTCACAGTCTTCTGCCGATTGTCGGCGTTCACTTATGGTAAGTGTAGTTGACCTTGAGTATCTTATGCTTCATCCGCGGTCGAGATAGCCTACGAGAAAGAGGACTTTATTGAAGGCGCGCTTGCAGTTCAATAGCACCTACGACTTTTTCGTTTTTGACCCCCATGACCCAAGGCTTGCAAACGTGGACATGTCCTTCAGTTGCGCGGCGGAAATTCAAATGCCAGTCTCTATTCAACATTAAGTGGCCAAACTTTGCCCAGACAAGAACGCACAGATACCCTGTGTGCGCCTTTTCGTGAAAATATTGCAACACGCCTGCTTAGTAAACGTAAACAGTAAAATGCCAAAAATATTTTCTTTTCAAGGGACTGAGTTCAGGTATCTGAAAGGAAAACCCTTGGTCTAAGTTACATACTTGGGCCAATGGCAGCTGTACTAACTGTTCTAACCATACTTGGCTGTGTCCTGCTAGCGTTTTGTGCTTCGCGGAAAACGTGCCCTCCATGGTCATTACAGTCCCAGCCACCAGGAACGAAACGGTGCTCGAATGCAGGTCAGTCAGAGCTTCAGCTGCCATCGATGACCTTTCAATGTGCTCATCTTCAGATGAACTCCATGGTCAAGCTGCCCCCTGAAGAACGGTTAATATAGAGACGTAGCGTTATATTTATATTATAACTGGTTATATATTGTTATATTATATTTACGTGCTTCATAGCCGTTATGTTGTCATATGCTCCAGTTGTCTTCCTACTCAAAATACGGGTAGTATTTGAGATGTATAAACATTTGTGAAATAAATATGAATCACTTGTGAATTGTGAATGGCATTCCTCATCGACATAACCCCAGTATTCTGGCAATTTCTGAGGGTCACGCAAGGCAATGGATACACAGTTTTGATGTTGGACCCGGCATAGCACCCTCCCTTTCCGCATGGGAAAGACCTGGGTCATGAACTTTCCTGTAATGCAGTCACTACTGCAATAGAATAGGATCTTGTAGACCAGAGCTGCACTCCAGCAAAGCGTCCCATTTTAAAATTAGTGGTAATAATGATAGTAGGGCAGCCTATCAGACCTAATACGAGATTGGTTTTGTTTGATAACTGCTGTTTTACGCCGCAGTACGCGTTGCGAAAGTTATCACAAGAATGCTGAGTTGTGGGCAAAAGTCGTGCCCAGGGCGGGAGTCGAACGCACCTCACGCTTTCCGGGCGAGTGCGCTATCCGTTACGCCACCAGGGCCGCTTTTACCCTCTCAGCTTAACGGCTTTTATGCCGTAGCCTTACAGCACTCACACGTTTAACTTGGTGAGCCGGTCAGCCGTAATTACGGCTAAGCTGTAATTACGGCTGTAAGGCTACGGCAGATAAAAGCCGTTAAGCCTAAAGCCGTTAAGCTGGAGAGTAGAAGCGGCCTGGGGGCTTAACGGACAGCGCACTCGTCCGGAACGCGTGAGGATGCGACATTTGTCTAATGCGAAAGTTGTTTGGGGAGGGGGCCGTTTTACGTTAAAACATCCGGTTACGAACATTACATAGTTGCGGTCTGTAGTGGCTTCAGCTCCCAGTTGCTCGAAGCTTACGCGGTGTTCCGTTCCTCTTATGCGCATAGAGAATGGAAGATTAATGACCGTGAATTCACGCTAATTCCTCATGTTCGCCAAGCCTTTTTACGGCGCAGGGCCTGTCCCGTTTATGCAAACAGCGTCCGCGCGGCGCATTGTCCGCGTGCGGCGCTCTTGGCACCTTGCCAGTCTCGTAATAGCGCTTTCGAATAGTAAAACCGCAATTTCCTGATGCGGATAACATTTGGAGGTGCTGCAAAATAAGAACCGATGAGATGACGACGAGGGCCAGAACTCAGAAGCAACTGTGCTGCTTCTGCAATATCCCGGCCGCGCGAGGCCGCGCATTCGCAGAAACCACAATAAAAACGGTCTAAGCGTTCCACTCGTTAGTCTAAAGTATTTTTATGGCTTTGGAGCCGGAATCGCGCCGAATTGCAGAGATTTACACACGATTTTGATTAATTTACATTTCAATGTAGCGTCGGTGCTTACTTGGATGCTCTTCAACTTGTAACACGTTTCGGTGGCGAGCTTTCGGCAACGTGAATGCTTTCGTCGGCCTTAAACTTACCAATGCTGTTAAATAGTAACGCTACAAAAACAACACATCGAGATGTTTACATACCAGTGATGGATGGTCGGACCTGTCAGTGGGGACGAGACATTAAATGACCCGCGCTGACATAACACTTGAGGCACATAAGTGGGGTCAAATGATGAGCCACAGGAGGCCTCTTTTGCATTGATTTCTGGCTTTATGCGATGTATCGCCCGCGCTTCCATTATGTTCCTTCCAGCGGTCGTACCAGGTGTCTGTGCAGTACACTCACGTCGAAGGACGGAGCATTATCATCTGCGTGCCTAAGTGTACGGTGCCGCGAGAACGTGCTTCGTGGGTAGACAGCGGGGTTCGTTAACGCTCTTCTGTGCTTGTCTAGACGATTCTTCAGCGGTCGCTGCGGTTCTCTCCGAATAATTTCGATGTCACATCCCTCTGGCATTGTATCAAGTAGACGGTGCCTTGGAGTCCATAAACCTTTTCAGATGTACAGTATCGGCACGATTCTTCGAGACACCGGCTTTCATAGATTCTTGAAGATGTCAGGAGGGCTTTCAGTTCTTGAAGATGTCAGGAGGGCTTTCAGGATTTTGGTACCGCTGCAAGCGCTACACTTTGAAAATAGCACAGGAAGAGTCCGGAAGCGGCACCAGGGCATCATAACCTCCCAGCCGCTGCCAATCCATGCACTTGCAGCGCAGAAAGTGGCACGCTACTCCTCCTGCAGACCAGTTCACCTCGCAAATGGCAAGCACCATGATCGACGGAGGTGAGTGAATTTATTGTTTGCCTTCAAACGGTAGCAATTTATGAACAACGCGAAGTCACAACTCACCTGTTGTGCAAATTCCAACCTACGATTTTTTCAGCAATCTGAGTCACAGCGGGATTCAATGCTACAATGGCCATCGTCTTCGAGTTGCTCGCACCAAGATTGCGCGAAGAATCATTGTCAGCTTTAATTCTTCTTCTCTCTTCTTCTGCTTCTTCTTCCTAACGTAGTGCTTCGCTCCTTCGCTGAGGCAGAGTCCGTTCTTAGTCGCCACTTTTGCTCGATCTAGTGCATCTTCTTTAGAGCGACTGACCTCATTTCCCCATTTATGGTGTCCTGCTAGCGTTGTTTTGGTCTTCCTCTCGGCCAGTAACCGTCCACTTCAAATCGAGATGCAATAGAAGCGACGGTATCACGCCCAGCTCGCAAAACGTAGCCATACCACTGGAGTCGACTTTCTAGCATATGTCTCGGCAATACCTATTCTGGCATCTATTCACCATCGCTACTTGATTCTATCGAGGCGTGAAATGCCCATAGAGTCGGAGCATTCGCCTCTCCATGGCGTAAAGTTGGTTTTGAATTATCGTAAGAGATATGCTGGCTCTAAAACAGCACAGTAACGTTGATTATCATTAATTTCTTATCTTCTCTGATCAGCTCGCTCGAGCACACACAAAATGCCCGTCATCGCTCATGCAACATGTGGCTTACTTACCTTTCACCTGACTTCGAATGCAATTTTGCAGATTGGACAACGCAGAGTTAATATGCGTCGCTCACTTGAAGCAGTCACCCTCAGCACCAGACTCTTTGGCCCGCTCACATCCAGCAAGTGTAGGCATGCATGACAAGATGCTCCTGATAACGATATTACGGTATAGCAGCGCGTGTAATTACTGAGCAACAAGTTTGAAATAGATATACCAGAGGTCCTATTGTTACCTTGTATCACAAGCTCGAATACAGCGTGACTCCTGCTGGACTGCCTTATCTAACATAAGCTAAGCTTTGAACGCTTTGTCTGTGATGAGGTTGTAGCGATAGTGTTCTGAAAGCTTCACTATGTTGGAGCAAATGTATTAGTTGTCCTGGTCGGCCACGCTCCTGTCTTCCGCCGCAGCAGTACAAGGTTACGCGAACGCTCTCCATGCACGTGAAACAACGCTGTGAGCGATACCGAACTCTGGGCTACACTCGTCATGGTTCGACCTTCTTCGAGTTTCCCTATGATCCTTCCTCGAGTGAAGTCATCCAGATGCTCTCTTCGGGACATGATGTATCGAAGGATACTACCACAGTTCTTTGCAGCTACTCGTTGATTGAAGAAATTTTTTTTTCATGCCCATAGACTGCCTCGATTTGCGCGGTCGGCCATATTTGGACATTCAAGCTTCTTCTTCCACCGAGAAAAGTCTAGCTTCCTGTGCATATCCCTTAGGCGAGTGGCAACATGCTCCCACACTTTCATTTACTTCCACCCAGTCATTAGTGTTTTATGTTACTTTATCCATCTCGTCCCTAAGTTTTGCACACCAGTGTATGAGAGAGAGGAGAGAGAGAAGAGAGAGAGTCGCCGAGAGAGAGAGAGAGTGGTACCTGGAGAGGCCAGCAGTAACTTTAAGGCTGCGTTTATACTTTGCGGCAGCGTAGCGTAGCGCAGCGTAGCGTAGCGCTTCCAGCGTACGCCAGCGGCAGTGCCGAAGAGAGGATGCATATCGATCTAGCTTCACCAGCGTCACCAGCGGCACGCTGGCGTACGCTAGCGGCACGCTAGCGTACGCTAGCGTTTCTCCAGCGTTTCACCAGCGTTTTGCTAGCGTTTGCAGCGGCAGGGGAGTAGAGACTATGGGAGAGCTGGAGGGGACAAAACACATCGATTGCCCGTATCTCACTCGCCCTTAGTCTCTACAATGCACATCGCTTCTGCGTCTTCGACGGGCACATAGTCTCTACAATGCACATCGCTTCTGCGTCTTCGACGGGCACATAGTCTCTACAATGCACATCGCTTCTGCGTCTTCGACGGGGCACATAGTCTCTACATGCACATCGCTTCTGCGTCTCCGACGGGCACATAGTCTCTACTCCCTGCCGCTGCAAGCGCTAGCAAAACGCTGGTGCCGCTGGAGAAACGCTCGAGAAACGCTGGTGAAGCTAGATCGATAGCTATGCTTCCCGTGCCCTCGCTACGCCAGCGTGCGCTAGCGTGCCGCTGGCGTACGCTAGCGTGCCGCTGGTGACGCTGGTGAAGCTAGATCGATATGCATCCTCTCTTCGGCACTGCCGCTGGCGTACGCTGGAAGCGCTACGCTACGCTACGCTACGCTGCGCTACGCTACGCTACGCTGCCGCAAAGTATAAACGCAGCCTTATGTAGTAGAATTCCTGGCTAGGCTTTAGTACTCCTCGCTCCTGGAGTAGATTGGTGTGACCGATCGAGATGAGAGGAATGAGGGAACAATAACAGTTTCGTTAAAGATCGATGCAAACTGATTTATAGCACGCAGTGCTCGCCGACCTCGCAATGGTACTTTCGAAAGGATAGGATCGCACCCCTCCATTTCCCTTGGTCGGAGTGGAGCCCTTTCTGAAGCGTGTGCTGAAAGCAGTTGGCTTGGTTTGGAAAGTAATTTCTGCTTCTTTTTTAGGAGCTGAGCTCGCATGATGGTTCTTGCTCTTTCTCTTGGCTTATTACATGTAGTCTACATCGCGTCGTTCTTGAAGAGCG